CTTCCGATCTCCGAGGGTTAGAATCGAGGGTAAGAACCGAGGGTAAGAACCGAGGTTAAGAACCGAGGGTAAGAACCGAGGGTAATAACCGAGGGTAAGAACCGAGGGTAAGAACCCTCTACCCTCACTCTTTTCATGCAGACCGGTGAGGGCTAGACCCTTGCATAGACCAACCATCCCTGGACAGAGATGCCACATAGACCACAAGCTTGAAATATTTTAAAGACCCCAAATTTGATCTAATATATTTATGGCGGCTGTAGATCGTTTCGCTCCCTAGGGGTCTAATGGACCAGCCCACCTAACCCTCTTTCGCCACCCCCAGGGGGTCTGATAGACCACGGTCTTCACCCAACCTAACCCTCCTAAACCCATCCCTAAAAGATCTGATAGACCACGGCCCCCCTTACCCGTCCCTCCTAATCCCATAGACCTTGATAGACCACGGCTAAACTAACCACCTAATCCTCTTCCTCCAACCCCAGGGAGTCTAATAGACCACAACCCACTTTAGTCCTCCCTCCATCCCCAGGAGATCTAATAGACCACAACCCACCTAACCCCCTCCTTCCGCCCCCATGAGGTCTAATTGACCACAACCAACTTAACTCCTCCCTCCAAACCCACCTAACCCCTCCCTCCACCCCCAGGGGGTCTTCTAATAGACCAGAACCCACCTAACCCCTCCCTCCACCCCCAGGGGGTCTTCTAATAGAGCAGAACCCACCTAACCCCTCCCTATACCTCCAGGAGGTCTTCTAATAGACCACAGCCCACCCAACCCCTCCTTCTGCCGCCAGGGGGTCTAATAGACCACGGTCATCACGGCAACAAGGCCCACAAGGCCCTCAGCGAGACCCTGGAGCTGGACGCCGCCGTGTCTGCAGCCCTCGAGATGGTCTGTCTGCAGGAGACCCTAGTGATCGTCACAGCAGACCACGGCCACAGCATGAGCCTCAACGGCTACCCCGGCAGACACACTGACGTCCTGGGTCTGTTCTAGGGTCTGCAAGACATTTATTCAATTGTCCATTATACATATACAGCACTCGGGGTCTGAATAGTGATTTTTTGTGTTCTACTAACTCCATTGAGGTGTTTTAGACCAGTAGTTTATTTTTGCACAAGGTTTTCAGACCCTCAAGTTTTGTATTCACTAGACCCTCGAATCATAGGGTCCATAAAGTAGCATTATAACCTCTGCCAGACCCTTGGTGAGGATGTCTAAGATCAGACCGCATGCAAAAATCCTGTACCCCATCCCTCCACTCCTCTACTAACCCCCTCTCCCCCCCCAGGGTTTGCAGACCTCAGCAATGTAGACTACCTGCCCTACCACACGCTGCTGTACGGCAACGGCCCCGGGTACCGTAATGCCCCCACCGGGACACGGGGCAGCCCCTCGGGGGAAAATACCCGTGAGTAACATCATATCACCCTTTTGGTTCCGCTTTTATTATATTCAACACCTATAAAAATTTAGTCCTGGGTCCGACTCAGAATTACCCTAAAAAAATTTGGAGTCGCCCCAGCTTCTGGTAATCCAAATCAGAAGCTGACGCGCCTGTAAATATTCACTGGGTAGGTGCCGCCCAGGACTCGGGGAGCGCGTAAATCAGCCGCTAATGTTCACTTCAGCTCAGGGTTTGAAGAGCAGCCTCTGGGCAGCATGCAAGCTCGGTATAACTCGACTAGAAAAATCCTTGTCATACTCTCCGACGAGTATGTAATTGGAAATCATAAACCATATCTTGGCCAGAAGCTGATTTCGATCGGGTNTCATTAACCCTTTCTTTAAATAAGTCCCTTCAATGTGAATAAACAACTCAGAACTATGGAGATAGTTTCAAAGATATCGAAAACAAATATTTTGCAGAACTGGGCATAAATGAAGGACAATTATAGGATGCTGAAACCGAGTAGAATATGTACTAAAGAAAACATACATGGAGATGATTGAAATTAGTTTAAATATGACAGATAATTGATGGTGAAACTGTGGTGGCGGAAGATATCCCAGTCGAAATTCTGATTCCGTTCAGGGTTGTCCTGGGCTCCATTGACTCGGTTTTGTTTTAGAATAGAATAGAATAGAATAGAAGTGTCGGCATTGAAGAAATAGGCCCATGGCCTGTTGCCCATTCTTGAATTTTTCGTGACTTGATTCACAAGGGATCCGGCCTTTGGAACTCGATCTTTCCATAACTGACTAATTGAATTAGATAGCTGCTGGACTTATTTTGAAGTGAATCAGGTGCAAATCGGCCGCCTTGTCTATTCAGGTGCTAATTAGGAGCTTATTTCGGGAGTTAATTATGGGCCGAATCTGCGTAATATAACCAAAAAGAGCTGCTGGTAATTAAGACTGTCTCATGCATGTCAGACGCTAGTATTTGAGCGAACCATGACCATCACCCGCTTATGGAATAGCCTCGATCGATGTATATGCACGTGTACGTCTGTTAATGCATACGATGGAACGAAATGAGAATGGCTTTTACCAATTTTTTTAGCTCACGTGGGAGTTAGATAGTAATTTCATTTATTATAGGACAAAAATGTCTGAATTCATTTTACTGTATTTAAAAACCACAGGATTCTTGTTGCTTGAAGGCACGGAAACATGATTAATGGGTGCAAGAGGAGAAAAATACTTGATAAGTACGCTTATCAAGTGAACGCTAATACCAGCCATTAAGTGCCATTAATGTTGATTGGGGTACATTGGGCCTATACGGTGAAAGTCAGATGATTTCCCATCGAAATTCGCGTAGTACAGCCTCTGCCTGCCGAGCGCCATGCGCGAGTGCATTGTTGCCGTGGAAGAGTGCGCACGGATACAGCTTCCATAGGCCTTTTTCGGCTGTATTCTTGTATAATTTTACCAGAGCCTCTTCATAATGAGCAGCTATAATCTTTTTATTCTTCTCGAGGAAATCAACTGATAAGATCCATTCTGTATCCCAGAAGACAGTGACCACAACATCCCCTCTTGAACGCTCATATTTTGTTTTGACGGGCCAAACTCCTTCCAGAATCAGCCGCTGCTTTGAGCTTATCTCTGGTCATAATCTCCGTGAGAAAAATTCAGGGTTTCCATCCCACTTGTTCAAAACACCTGTAGAAAGATTTGTCCCTGATTCCTGCTTATCTGGGAGCAACAGCCAAGGAACCCATCTAGCAGAAAGCTTGCTCAGTCCCAAACTGTCCAACATACATAATTGTGTTTGTGGAACTCATTGAGGTGTTGAGGTGACTGCTGCTAATTTGATGGTTATTTGCCTATCTTTTTTAATGAGATCACGAACCCCTTGTCTCTGCAGGGGTCATCTTTGGTCTCTTTCTTTTGCTTCTGGAACGACTAATCCATTTGTAGTTTGCTTATTTATTTGAGGCACTGGCACCATAAACTTTTTCCAGAGAGTCAAATATTTGGCTGTTCTTCCATCCAAGCTTCACCATGAATTTGATGTTTGACTTGACTTCGTTTACATATGTTACATGAACCATATGTTACATGAACGGATGCCATGTTGCCTATGTTATTTCTTTTAAAACAGCACCCAGCGTTTTTAACATTAATTAAAGGTTCATGTGAGAACACTATGTGAAACATTGATACAGGATCGTTCTGGTGCATTGACAACATATTTTTTTCATAGAATTTGCAGCTATGTCCATTTTCCACGAACTTTTTTTTAAGCCTCCACGTTTGACTGGATTATATTCAGACGCTTATTTCATTCTTACCCTAAACCCCAGGTGCGCCAAAATTACCCCAACATGTCATTAAATTTACCCCCAGACTCATTTGTGAATGACTTCCTGCCCTCAATTTACGCGAACAAATATTTGGGATGTACGAACTTTATTTGTACTGTAATTTTTACGTCGTTGGGTAATCAAGTATTACTCCTGCAGATATTAACCCGTGTCATTTGAAGGAATACCCTGAATAAAATACCTATACCCTGTCTCCACGCACCTAATTTTTGTCTCCACGCACCTAGTTGTTGTCTCCACGCACCTAAGTCCAAGAAGTTTGTTGGATGTGTTAGCTTGCGTTTCAACATGCTTAGAAAATTTCAGCTCCTTGTCGACATAAACTCCGAGATCTTTTTCCATAAACGCTATATTCAATTCAGAAGCTAACTATTTTCAAAAATTTCGATAGTAATGTTACTGTCCGTGAATGCCATAGTTGGGGAATCATTCTTACCCTAAATCCCAGGTGCGCCGAAATTACCTCAACATCTGCATTAAATTTACCCTAGATTGACCTGTGAATTATTTCCTAACCTCAATTTTTTACGCGAACAAATTTTTGGGATGCACGAATTTTATTTGTGATGTAATTTTTCCGTCATTGGGTAATCAAGCATTACTCCTGCAGATATTAAACCGTGTCATGTGAAGGAATACCCTGAATATAAAATCTATTCTGTCTCTACGCACCTAATTTTTGTCTCCACGCACCTAGTTGTTGTCTCCACGCACCTAGTTGTTGTCTCCACGCACCTAGTTGTTGTCTCCACGTACCTAGTTGTAACTCGGTATCCATGCTACGGCAGACGCAGCCAGCCAGCCACTGACTCGGTATCCATGCTACGGCATACGCAGCCAGTCAGCCACTTACTCGGTATCCATGCTACGGCAGATGCAGCCTACTGGCGGGGTGTGGGGCAGGCTGAGCTGGTCAGCCAGCTGGCTGTGCAGCCAGTCGTCAGCCAGGCCAAGAACGTCATCCTCTTCCTGGGGGATGGCATGAGCATCCCCACGGTCTCCGCCGCCCGTATCCTCAAGGGGCAGCGAACGGGGAAGTGGGAGCACGAGACGTTGTCCTTCGAGTCCTTCCCCCACACGGCGCTCCTCAAGGTAAGGGGATTTGGGGGAGGGAAACCTTCACATTTGATGGGGAATTCTGGGAAACTGCAGTCGTCACTCGATGAATGACGACTGAGGGAAGCCATGTGTTTGCTGGAGGTAAAGGGTCCATGTGGCGTTAATAAAGCCATATTTTATGCTGGGGTCAATGGGTTCAAGTGGCGTTTATAAAGCCATGTTTTATCCTGGGGTCGAAGGGTTCCATATGGCGTTACTAAAGCCACATGGCTTGTCGCCAGACGTACACGACGGACAGCCAGGTGGCTGACAGCGCCGCCAGCGCCACAGCCTTCCTGTGCGGCGTCAAGGCAAACCTCGGCACGGTGGGCGTCAGCGTCGGCGTCAGCAAGGAGAACTGCAGCGCCCAGCACCAGCGTCAGCACCAGC